GCCTCTCTCTGCTGCCCCCCTCTGTCCTGCTGCAGGGTTATTTGGAGTACATCAGGAGCCTGCCCATCAACGACACTCCCGAGATCTTCGGCCTCCACGACAACGCCAACATCACCTTCGCCCAGAACGAGACCTTTGCGCTGCTGGGAGCTGTGCTGCAGCTGCAGCCCAGAGCCTCAATCAGCGGGGGCAAGGCCCGGGAGGAGGTGGGGGCCTGGGGGGTCCCTGTAATAGGACAGGGGAGAAACTGGGAGGTCATTGCTCTGGGATAGTGGAGAAACTGGGGGACATTGCCTTGGTAGAGGGGAGAAACTGGGGATCCCTGCAAGGGGATAGTGGAGAAACTGCGGGTGACCATTTGTGGGAAAGGACTTTGAGATGAAAAGACACTATGAAATATAAACACTGACAATGAGATAATCTGGCATGGTGATCTGACACACTCGGGGTAAAAAAAAACCTGCATTGGTTTTTTCACCTGTCCTCCTGCTGTAGTGCAGAAGCCCTGCAGTGTGAGTAAAAGGGAATGTTTCAGAACGGGCTGTCTCTCCTCTGCCTGAACGAGGGCTACTGAGCCAGGAATCTGCGTGGGATCAGAGCGTCTCCTCTCTCCTCAGATCGTGGAGGAGATCGTGGGTGGGATCGCAGAGAAGGTGCCCCAGCCCATTGACGTGCAGGAAGTGACCAGGAGGTACCCCGTCCTGTATGAGGAGTCTATGAACACTGTGCTGATCCAGGAGGTCATCAGGTGAGACACAGCCCCTGCTAGGGCCCCTGTGTGGGTCCTAATGCCCCAGTATGGTGACGGGGACACTATAATGTAAAAAGGCACCTTCCTTTGGATGAGACGTAAAACCGAGGTCCTGACTCTCTGTGGTCATTGAAAATCCCAGGGTGTTTCTCGAAAAAAGAGTAGGGGTGTAACCCTGGCGTCCTGGCCAAATCTCCCCCTGGCCTTTACCAGTCATGGCCTCCTAATAATCCCCATCTCTGAACTGGCTTGTACCCACTGAGAGCTGGTGTGTGGGGAGTGTCCTGGAGCACTCTGGCTGCTGTTGCATCATCCAGGTGGGCTGTAACTTAGGTGCTGGTGGAGATTACCTGTAAAGTGCTTTGAGTGGAGTGTCCAGAAAAGCGTTACACTGTATATAAGTATAAGGATTGTTATTTTTTCTATTAGTTGCCAGAATGCACACTTATCTCCGTCACATGCTCA